TAGCCCTGTCTTTCAATTCCACTTCTCTGAGATTCTTTAGGGTGGCTCTGACACAATTTCTGCCCTGCTAGTGTTCCTGTGATCCCCAAGACCCCCCCTTTTCTGGATGTTTTATCCCTAGAGAACCTTGATGCTTAAAGTACCTACATAGATGTGGTAGCAGTCGATATCCATTACATGTAGGTCACGATTACAGAAAAATGTTAATGGATTCTGTCAAGGCCACACACAGACATTTCCTTACACAAAGGCTCTCGAGTTTTCTAAAAGCCTGACCTGCTATTGGAAAGTGATCAGGAAGCTTTCAATAAGCCCTGGAATCGAATCAATATTTCTCACTCTTTGGTGATGATTAGTAAAGGGACATCAGGGATATCGATTGTCATCAAGGATCCACCACTTAGTCAGGCAAGGCTCACAGGCCGCTGGCTTTGGTCGACATGAACTATCCATTATACATCCCTTGGGAGGGGGAAGCTCTTCAGGTTTCCATGGCAGCAGCGGGCCTTTTTAATTCACTGGCTTTCAAAGAAAAAAGAATCCAACAAACAAGTAACACATAGTTGAAAAACCATAAACCAGACCCCCTCAGTCATTTCCAGGAGACTTAGTTATTTGGATCTGTTGACTTTCAACATCAAGAGGATTGGATTTGAGACTGAGTAAAGAGGATTTGCTTCTCTAATCCAAAAATCTCTATCTAAAGGTCTCAAGATGCCAGCCTGTCCCCCTTCTGTTTAGGTATGGGTTACCCTTGTTTACTTTGGCCCACATCCTTCAGAATAGAGTGCATCTGGCAAAATGTATCTAGCTTTTCACTGCTAACACTAAAGAACAAAATTTAGCAACTTTCTTAATAAGTTTAATGTCAAGTTTTGGAAGGTCCGCTGATTTCTGGAAAAGCCCCAAACTCATTGAGCAGTTTCCCAGCTACTGTGAGATCTAGTTAGCTATGTGGCCCCCCTGTGGTCCCATGAATGCCACGGGTGGATCTCCAACTACAAAGACTTCAGCCTGCCAGGAAGGAAGTCATTACCTTTCTTTAGAATGTGCTTTTCCAATTTTAGCACATTCAATGTGAATTCTACACTCAATGGCAGGGCAGTTTCTGTGAGAGAAAGACAAAGAGGTTGTATGAAGATGACTAATACCTGAGAATACTCGACCTAATATTGGGGGTGTTGGTGGTCGGTCTTGGAAGGGCAAAGGTTTCTGTTGTGTGTTGGACCACCGTTGCTGTATTTCTTTTTTTTTTCATCTTTAATTGAGTTTATTGGTACATTTTAGGGATACAGTACAGTTACATTCATTGTTGGGATGTTGTACCTCTACATGACAAGTCTTGTTTCTCATTTTTTCCCCTTATCCCTGCCCTCCCTTCACCCCCTTCTCCCCTCCCATCTACAAACACTTTGTTTTCATCTGTTCATTATCTCACAATTTTTCTTTTCCCTTTTTACCCTTCCCCTACCCGTCCCACCTTCCCTACACTTTTAGCTCCTTTCTTCCCATTTCTCAATGTCAGTTATCTTATTAGGATCTTATGTATTATTGCAGATTATTCACACCAGGGAAACTATTCGGTATTTACACATGTGTGCCTTATTTATTTCACTTATGAGAAATAAAAGAATCATATCACAGAGAAGTATGCTCAGCCATGTTTATAGTGGCACAGTTTGTAATAGCTAAAACTTGGAAACAGCCTATTTGCCCATCAGTTGGAAACTGGATAAAGAAGATGTGGTTTTTCTATAAAATGGAATATTACTCAGCCATAAAGAATGAGACAATAGATTCATTCATAGGAAAATGGATACATATTGAAGATGTACTCCGTTGCTGTATTTCTAATGGAACTGATGTAGAAATACACTTAAAATTCCTTTGCAAATTCCTTTGGGAATCTTGTTTATACAGTTTATTGTAACAGATATGGATTTTGGTAATTTTTCCGAGCAGTTTTGAAAGTGACTTGCTGATCCAAAGGGTAGAATGTATTGACTCTCACATGCTCCTACATGAACCTCTTTCCTGCAGTGTGTAGCAACTGACGTCTCCTCTTGTTTTAATCTTTGTTTGCATGTCCTATCCTGATTTTCTATGAGTTTCCCCTCTGTCTGCTTTGCTTAGTGTTCAGTGATTTGGGCAGAGGTTTTACTTAAAACATAAGAGCCTGTGGAACTACAGGCCTTAGGCCGCTGATGTAAGCTGGAAAGGGGGTGGGATGCTTAATCAAAACTCAGCTGGTGTTGGTCTTCAAGTGTGTTTTTCTCTCCCAGGCTCTGTCTTGAGCCCCTAACCCCATGCACACACAGCCCAGGAGTATGTGGAGCAGTAGTTGAAACACGGAACCCCTTCCCACCCCATGTCCATCACTCGTTGGTCCACTCCTCCCCTCAGCTGAGACTAAAAACTGAAGCTAGCAAAGATGCACCTTTGTTGCCTGTGGGTGTGGCCACTTTTGCTTATAAAGCATTTGGTTTCCCCTTCCTCAACCCAAATCTAGCCAACATAAGGTCATAAAAGGAGTAGGGCGTGGAGTACAGCTCAGTAGTAGAGACCATGAGTAGCACAAAGTAGGTCCTAAGTTCTATTCCAATCACTGAAGGGAAAGAGAAGGAAGGAAGGAAGGAAAGGAGGAAGGAAGGGAAAAGGGTGGAAAGGAGGGAGGAAGGAAAGAGAAAATGTATTAGAAGGGTCCAAATGTATAATGAGCTCCACAGCGTAACTTCTTTCACTTCTTGATAAATCTGCCTCTGACCAGCAGTCAGCCCAGTACCCCACCCCAGCATCCCTGAAGGTTACAAACTTGGTGTGAGTTAGAAGGGTCCAGCAGCAGGAGAACTGAGCATGTGGCAGGGCATTCAGGAGCCTTAGGCTACAGGTCCAGCAGATCTGTCCATCCCTAGCAGTACTCCTGCCAGCAAGGGTGGTTTCCAGGAAAAGGATTCAGAAAATGCCAGAAAGTATTAGGTTCCAGCTGCTTCCTAGTAGAACCTGGATGCCCTGATTCTAGCAACTGGGTTAGATACAGGAATGCAGCTGTCAGATTCGAGTAAAATCCAGGATTAGAGACACAACCAGAAAAGCTGATGATAGCATCTGGTTAGCATGATGACTTTATTCTAATCTCTGCTATATCCCTATGTTAGAGGATGGAGCTAGAACTCCTGACACATATTCCCATGAAGAGACCATGAACCTCTAGGGGGCAAATATCTCTGTACTAGGTGAACCACTAGTAAGTAGGAACTATGAGTACAGCTTCCTAATCAGTACACAACACTGGAAGGAAAGAGGGGATCCCTCAGAATGGAGAAGAGAGTGGCAGATTTTGAGAAGGGTTGGACAAAACCCTAAAGTTTGGCCTAAGAAGCCAGGTAGGCTTGGAGAGCACTACCTAAAACCAAAAGAGTCTCACCTGTGAGGAAGTCCTGGATTATTTGAAGAAATCTAGAGATTATCTAGCCAGCAAACTATGAAGAATTTAGCTGCTACCTGATATATTTATAATTGGGTTGGGAAAAATACTAATAAGAAATTGGTAATTAGATGGCTCCAAAAGCAGAAATGAATGGTGCTGATTACGTTTTCTGGACAAGATATGGGAATAATTACAAAAACTAACAAATCAGGATGGTGATGTTTTTACAAAGGGAATAAGATATTACTAAAATATATTTTTAAAGGATATTGTTCAGCAACATGCGTAGTGCTCAGGAACATGGGAAGATATGACTGTCCCTTAATTTTAGACAACAGAGGAGTATTGTTTGCCTTAATGAAACTACTGTACATCAGATGAGGACTTTCTCTTTTCTCTTCCCACAAATTTGCATAAAATATTTAAATGGGGATCATTTGCTTTAGGAACACATTTATCAATTCTTTTTTTAAAGTGTTGGCTTTGACTAAACAGCAGATGTATGGGCAGCTGGCAGTTGCGGAGGGCTGGGTCTCTGCTGGTCTGTGCACCGTGGAAAGAAAGGCAAATTGGCAGGGTCTCAGTGTCACCGAGGGCAGCTGCCTTTCTTCCTCCTCAGCAGCCTTCATTTTACTTCACCAAATCAGAACATTTCCATTTAGCATTTGAGAACTTTATTTCAGAAAAGAAAAGGCAGTCATAGGCATAACAGTTCACAAAGCAAAAAGAGAGCCCAGGAGAACCCACAGAGAATCTAGGTCTGGAAGGAGCTGAATCATTCCCAAGATAGCTGGGGCACCACCCCAGAATGACAGGGAGGGTAGGGACAGACCCTGCACAGGAAGTGAGCATGGCTCTGTACCTGAAGACCTTTAAAGCTCTGCATGGAGACTGTAAGCATATTCTCAGAGCGGGAGTAGGTTTTCTAAATTATTCCAACCTCAGACTTCTCGGTCAGCCTCTTAGGGAATTCTAGAAAGGCAAACCTAGGAATTCAAAAGGGCCAGTAGGCTTTTGTGCCCTCTGTTTATAGCAGGGTGACTTTAAGGCCTATTCTGTACTCACAATGACTACCCTTCTGTGTTCAGCACTGTTAATTAACCCCTGAAAGCTGTGACCCCCACCCTCAGCACTGCCCTCCTTGGCATTTTTGCAGGAGATGAGTTCATTAAAACCAGATTTTTGTGGTAATAATGTCACATTCAAATTAATGCAAGTACTTTCATGCCCCCAAAGAAGCAACCTTTCACAAATGACATTTTGCTTTCTAATGTCAGGGTTAGAAGTATCCTCCAAGTTTTGACTTTTTAAAATTAACTATATTAGCATTTTGCAGTAGAATATGAGAGCAAAAAGACTGCTTACATTTATATTAAGCATTTGAAAAGCCACAAGACATTTGTTTTCCGTAGCGTATGTCTATGCCATAGGTTGTGAATTCTACAAGCAAATATTAGCAGAAAGAAATTTTTTCTCTTAAACATTTCTTGACTTGCTAAAGATCATCTGAGAAATTGTTGAAATACATGTAGGAAATATAGAGAGAAGATTGAAGATCTAACATCCAGGGTCCTCAACCCAGGCTCACACAGCCATTCTGGATATCCAGTCTCAAGCTCTAAACAAAACACAGGTTTAGAAATAAGTTGCTTTCTGTAAAGTACATAAATATGTATTTTAGTCACTCATTTATGTCTACTAAGTGGAATAGCTTTTCTGGATCTTGTTACATATAGTCATGCTTCTAAAGATCTCCTTATCCATGGCTAATTATGCACTTTTAAATGCAGAGGTCTATACCAACAAAAAAGAAAAACATTTTTTTTTCCTGTGCAAGCTAAGGAGATTGCTTAGGCTAAGCAGCATCACCATGCTCTACACGGTGTGGGACAGGTTTACCATTGTGCAGGGGGAGGACCATTCGGAAATGTCTGCACTCTCTGTCCAATGGGCACAGTGTGAGTGGACTAGACAGGAACCCTTGTAAGAAGGTTTTGTGGAGGAAAACTTCACACTGATACTGAGCATACTGTGGAAAGTCAGAGAATGAAGGAAGGGAGGAAAACAAAAACTCAGAAATATAGTCTTGTGTTTCTCTTTGAAAAAAATCCCTAATTTTTCATATATTTTGCAAAATAGATTCAGTAATTTAAATGTGAAAGCACCTTTTACCTTCAGTCATATACTGATTTGGTAATGAAAATATTAGTAAAGCAATGGTGAAAAATAATGCTCCATTTCTGCCATTACCAATGCTATTATTTCCTTTAAAATACTTCTAGGGGCGGGGATTTAGCTTAGTGGTTCCACCTGTGCCTGGCAAGTGCAAGGTCCCATGTTCAATCCCCGATACCAAAACAAAAACAAACACTAAACTTCTATAACTCATGGGGTTGTGTACTATGGCTAACAAAAGTCTGAGAGAAAAGTGTAGCTTGTCCTATTTCTAGTATATACTGAGGCTTTGAAACTCTTGAATTCTATCTCTTTCCTTTGGTAAACATCAAAAATCTTGGAATAAGCCAGGGATTTAGCTCAGGGGCACAATGTCTGCCTTGCAGGCACTAGGTCCTGAGTTTGATTCCCCAGTACAATTAAAAAAAACAACACACACACACACACACACAAAAAAACTATGGGGCCAAAGATTTAGCTCAGTGGTTTCACCACCTCTCTCACAAGCACAAGGTCCTGAGTTTGATCCCTTGTACAAAAAAAAAAATTTTTTTTTGGACTAAAACATACTTGGCAGCAGTCTCTGTTAGACATATTGTGAAAATGATCTTAGGCGTTCTGTTCTTTTGACAAGTACAGACCTGACCCCAGTTAATCAATGAGTAATAGAGGATACAATAAGATGCCAGCATTTGGAAAATAAAAGAGAGAGGTACTTCCTGTCACAGGGAACCTACCATGTTGGCACTTTGTTTGGAATCTGCACTTCCTCTTGGATCTTTACTTGCAGATTTCTGTAATAAATAATGTATATCAGGAGTTGCACCAGATGTTGGAAGCACATAAGCAAATAAATGCACACATGCATTATGAGCACACACACACACACACACACACACACACACACACTACTTGCTTTGTGAAAAATCCAAGATGGTTTGTAAGTTGCTATTGGATGGTAACAGAACGGATGGCTCTGATTAGGTAAAGTTTTATCAGAAATGATTAGTCCACATAAAGAGACATGCAATCACTTTTTAAGCATCAGTACTTCTAAGCATCAATTCAGATAGTATCTTTACTAGAACCCCAGAAAAACCTATTTTGAAAGAGGCACGGCACTAGTTCCATGGACAGTGGGATGTTCTGATCGCACAGCTCAGCAGTACTTTCCAGCACAATCCAAAATCCTTTCCTGTGATCTAATGTTTCTAAGGACCCAATGCCTGAAGACTGCTCATCCACTAAAAACAGCTTTAATACACTGCGTGCAGTGGCCTGGGCTTGCAATCCCAGCAACCTGGGGGCAGGAGGATCATGATTTGAGCCCAGCTTGGGCTGATTAGTAAGATCCTGTGTTAAATTTTTAAAAAATTCTTTAAAAGAGATGGGTGCTGGGGCACGGTCCAGTTGGGAGGGCATGGCTGATTTTACTACAGAAATGTAAGAATCTTGGTGGATTCCGTGCCTGGTTCTGAGGGGAGGAGTTAGAGGATGTGTAGAGACTAAAAATTTGGCAGATCCTGAGGGATCCTGTGATGATTCTTTATTTTTTTAAACACCCTGGCTGAGTGAGAATTCCAGAGCCCCTGAGCTAATCAAAGGCTTATTAAAAAATCATCAGATCTGGGGCCAGGACTAGGGTGAAGGGATTCGGTACTCATCTCAGGGATGGGGGTGGGCAGAACGTTAGGGGTGAAAACAAACTCAAGAATCATGATGAAAAACATTAATATGTAATTGTTTAAAAATTAAAATTAACCCTTTGTGATAAGTAAAATGCCACCAATTTAACACAGACAGGTCTCCCTCCAGCTCACCTTGCTGGCCTCACCCTAAGAAGTTTGCTAGAAGTTTGTTTCTGTACCAGAGTGTCCTGTCCTTGTGTCACCTCCAATCAAAGAGCTGTGTGACATCACTGAGCTTTAGCAAGGAACCAACACGTGGGTAAGCGGCATCAAAGTTATCAATGAAATAGACACAGACTTGCACAGGCAACCAAAAGGGGCAGGGACCTACCAGACTGATGTAATGCGGACTTGAAAAACTGTGTGGAAGGCTCTCCACGGGTTCTGCAGTCCTCTGTTAGTTAAAAAAACAAAACAAAACAAAATATCATTACCCTGCAAATTGTACATTGCAAGTACAACTATTTCCCAAGCCCAAAGAATACATTTCCCAGCCGTGGAATGCATTCTTAATAAATACACATATACCGAAAGATACGAAGACATGGAAACAATGTTCTTCTTTAGATTCTTGTCTTGTAACAGATGGATTTAAGGTCTGGCTAAAAAGCAAACTCACAGGAGTGTGGGCCTTTCTTTACATATTGTGATTTGCGTAGCACCAGGTTGGGCCTCTAGCTTCCAGATCTTACTAGCTCTATTTATCGGTACCCTGAAATTCCGCGGCCAGCCAAGTTACTTTGGCTTTGGAAAGTCTTTGGGAACCTCCAGAACAGCCTATTAAAATACACATAGGCTTGATGGAGGCCGCTGTCTTTGTGCTGTTAATTCGCAGAAGATGGTGAGAACGTTGGAAGGCACTGCTGTGACAATGGTCCCTGAAAGAGGCACTGAATGCCACAGGAAAAAACCGCCAGACATCAGTTAATATGACGGAGAAATCTTGCCAGCGAACCGTCTCAACACGGATTGGCTGAGGATTGGCTTTTGATGGAAAACTCTTGTGTCAAATAAGTATGCTGCTAACTCATTATTATTTGTATAATATTACAACAAAGCTAAAAACCTAAAGCATGAGATTAAAGCACCCAAACTCTCATGTAAAGTATGTGCTTGGAAACCCTGTTTATCTCAAGGCATGTAACACGAGTAATAAACTGAATTTGTGCTGATATTCAACTAATTTGTATCAAGCCTCCCTTCTCAGTGCCCTTGTTTTACGCTCAAATCCAAAACTACTAAAGAAGCTTACAATTCCGAAATGTAACAAACATGCCCCAGCTCTGTTGGAATCTGTTTATGCTCAGGCACCTTTGCCTTTTTCTGGCTAATTTACACATTAATTTAAGGAAACTTTAATTAGGAAAGAAACTTCAGCAGCATGCAACATATCCACAGATAATGAACATACATTAAGTGCTACATATACCAACATTGTGCTAAATACATTGGCATGCAGTTTCCATTTAAAACTCAGCACAAATCTCTGAGATTAATATTAACGTACAGTATTATTAGTGGTTTCATATCAGAAAGTCTCCACATAAGCTTAAAAATTGTCATACTATTTTATGTTCAGAAGAATAAACAACAAAGGCTTTTTTTTTAAACCATCTCAGGGTTACTATTGGCATAACAAAAAGTGCAAATGGATAAAAATGATTGCAAACCATCACGTAACAAGAGAACTTAACTATCCACCTCTGAAGACGACAGCTCTGAAGTTCAGTAGAGGCGTTTCTGTGGAAATGCCCTTTGTGTTTTCATGGAAGTGAGAAGGTGGCATGTTCTGCAATATTGTGCAGTGAAGACACACAGTTTATTGGATATGTAGCATCTGGGAAAAGTTTGAAAATGTCAGGAGCTTGTAACTAGATCAGTGCCGATAACGACAGAGATCCTTATTTTGAAACACTGGCATCATTATGTATTCAATGGCACTCGCACCTAGAAACAATCCGTTATTACTTAGCCTTAAATTTTGAGTCTCTTGTTCCTCTCCCAAGAGTTGGGTCCTGATGGCATTTTTTAATAATTTAATCAGAATAACCTTGTCAAGGATATTGCTTCTTTTGGCAGCGTTTGTAAGGATGCCTGTGCAGCTTCTTAATCTGTATGCACATTTTTTTAGGTGAGCTGAATGCATTGGAAATTATAGCCTTCACGGTTATTAAATAAGCCACTGCGGGCAGGGACTTCTGCAGGATTTTCTGTTTCATTTTTGGTCTGTTATTTTACAAGGCTGGTATTTTAAACAAATTTCATAGCTAGTCTAAATATACACAAAAATATTGAGTGTAGAGTACATGGCTTTTCACAGATGAACACATCTTTGTGACCAACTCTACTTAGATTAAAAAATAAAAATTCAAAATCCCTCAGGAGGACCCTCCCTTCCTTATAGTAACTATTATCCTGATTTCTAATACAAAATTTGTGTTTGTCAATCTTTGAACTTTGGTGTAATCTACAATCTTAGATAGTTTTTGAACTTGGCTTCTCTAACTGTGTTCCAGAGATTTATTCAAGTTGGGATAACAGCAGTTCAGCTGCTGTCCTTTCTCTGTAGTGGTCCATCATATATCATATCATACCATACCATACCATGCCATCTCATACTATACCATACCATATCACATCACATCATACCATATCGTACATACCATATCACACGATACCATAGCTTAGCATACCACACTGTACCATACCATACTATACCATACCATAGCATACCACACATACCATATCATATCATAGCTTACCATATCATATGGCAATTTGTTTACTTTCTTTGAACCTTTGGAATGTCTTGGCTTCTTAGCTCTTTTAAACAATGATGCTGAGGGCTGGGGATTTAGCTCAGTGGTTTGGTGGCCTGCCTTGCAAACGCAATGACCCGAGTTCAATCCCCAGTACCAAAAAAAAAAAAAAAAAAACCCAAAAAAAAAAAAAAAAA